ATTAAGAAGCACTGCCGTTGATGTATCCGGTGAAATTTATTATGCCAATCAATTATCATTTAAAATACAATCAGAATTAAACGCGGCATTTAATGATATTGTACCTGACTTATTCTTAACAGCATATGGACAAAGCAAACGCAAAATGGAACTTAAATTAAATGAGCCTCTAACTTACAAAATCAAAATACCTACAGATGAAGAATTAGAAACTTATGTAAATGGCGAATGGAACAGAGGACAATATGAATATGACAATTTAAGGCCAAAGTCTATTAATTATTTATTAAGTAATTATATTGCCTACGAACCTGCGACATCTTGGTTAAGCGGATACTTTAATTTAGTTCCTTTTCAGAATATATACATAAATTGTCCCCAATTAAGCGATTATAAATATTCAGCACCTAATGATTTCAGCAGTTCAGTAATTGACAAAGTTCAAATTAATCAACAACTGGGCGGAGTTATAACAGATTTTACAGCGCCCATATACGCAGATTTTATTGATGTAGGCGGTAAACATATTAAGAGATTAGAATAGCAACTTCAAGAAACGAACTAATTGATTTTCACGGCGTTCCCATTTCCTTTAGCATTTTGTTTCAATTAGATAATTAAATAAACCCCTAATTATTAATATTAATATCAAATTATGAATATTCATTCATATTTCTCAATTTGTCCATATAGACAATATATATATATATAAAAGAATAGACAAATTATATAAATGAAAGAGAAGAACCGCCACAATACAAAATGATTAAATGTATAGATGATATACTTAAAATTAAAACTGATGATAAAACAAAGGAAATATATTTAGTGCCTGAAAATAATAATTTGGCAGAATTATTATTCCAGTTGTTGAATATTGGATATGAACCCAGAATTAAATACACAGGTATTATTGATGAAATAAGATTAAGATTGAACAAGATAACATATATCATAAAATTTCAAAATTTAATTAAATCTTCCGGTGATGGATGGATTGCAGTTAGCAATGAAACTACATACAACAATATGAACAAAGCAATGTTTAATTTCAATAAATGTCATCACATAAATCCTTTTATAACGACATTGATATTAAAATATTAAATGAAACAAGAAGTATAGCACCTTCGGGGCAATTATTAAGTAATATTAATTTAGTTTAAAAAACAGCAATAGATGTAAATAAAGCATTTACTAAAGGTGTTTTAAATATTAGGGAAACAGTATTTAACCAGTTTGACATTGGAAAAAATACAACGATGAAATTAAAATAGATGAACTCCATGAACTAACGTTATATTATGTTGAAACTATAGATACAAATGTAAGACCGTTAAAAACAACAATGGACAGCATTAAGGATCTAATAGAGAAAAATCAACGCACCAAGCAGATGATATATTCTATTGCATATAGTAAAGGTATTGACGTTGCTACTTATATAGAATTTCGTAAAACACATGATTTAAGTTTGTTTTTAAATCCCGATGAATTAAAACAAGCAATTAAAAACATTGTAATAAGTGGTAATCACAACTTATTTTTCAACAAAAAATATAATCTAGTATATGGCAAGTTTTTGAAGGAATTCATCAATGAGAATATGACACACAAAATCAATATTTTATATTATAAACAACCTTCATTTATTCATAAGGTTGAATATACAAATATTATTAATGAACTTTTACAAACAAATATAGATGAACATGACGAAGCATTAGATAAACTAATTAAAAAGTTAATAGCAAATGTAAATTTTGGATTATTAGAAAAGGGAGGTGCTACAGCACATCAAAGTATTTTATTTAAATACATTGATGAAGCAGTTCACTATCAAACAGAATACGGAGGTAAAACTAATAAGTTATCGCATATTGTAAGCGAATATCCCGAAACGGCAACCGAATATGACGACGAAGGAGGTGCAACTACAACATATCATGGGTTTGATGAGGATGAATGGGATGTAAAGGCATCATATTATATATTGAATTTGAAGGATAAGGCAGTATTAAGAAACGGATATAGATAACTTTTACAACATCACAATTTTAAAATGAACCAAGACTTTAAGACACTAATAACTAATAATATTAATGTATATAGTGTAAAAACAGATGCTTTTGTAATTGATACATGCAATGAAGAAAAAAACAAAGCAATTATTAGAATTTCATGATGATATAGGAGGTTGGAAAGTTTCAAAGCAGAGAGAAGAAATTAATTTACCTACAGTACAATTTAACGTTGTAAATAATGAATTAACAAAAATACCAGTTTATGAAAGTAAAACTATTGATATTGTAGATGAGTATGACACTGATAACATTATAGAGATTGTTAAACAGAATAACCCTATTATGATTAAAGGCGAACTACCGGGCACAGGAAAATCATATATATGTCAAAAAAATGGTTGATAAAAAATATAAGGTAATTATTATTTGTCCTACTAATAAATACTTACAGGCATTTGAAGGTGAAGCAATGACTATAAATAAGTTTTTTGGAATAAACTACGGCGATGCAAAATTAGAACCATTTGATTTTACAGATTTTGATGTGATAGTATTTGATGAAATCTATTTTAGTAATTTGAATACATACTGGAGAATAAAACAAATTGTAGAGCAAAATAAGCACAACAAAATTATAATAGCAACAGGAGACACCAAGCAGTTAAAACCAGTGCAAGAAATAACAAATACTCAAGACTATGAATTATACACTGACAATATTATAGATTATAATTTTTTACACATAATATAATATTGAAAGACTGTAAGATACTTAACACACAGGAAGATAAAGATAAACTCAAGAATATAAAATCTGATATTCTTGCTAATAAATTACCAATTAAAACTATTATTGAAAAATATTTTGAATACACCACAGACATAAGTAGTTCCAAAAACAACATAGCATTGTTGAATACAACTTGTAAAAATGTATCAAATGAAATTAGAAAATTAGAAGATAGAAAAGATGAATATGAAGTAGGATAATTTTTAATTTGTAGAGAATATACTAAAACGAAAACATCAGTTTTTAATGTAAATTTCAAATATAAAATAGTTCATATTGGAAGTGATGGAATATTTGCATTAAAAAATGTCAAAACCGAAACTATACAATCCGTAGAAGTTGCTAAAATAAGAAGCAATTTTATATTTGCTTCTTGCTCTACATGTCATTCTGCTCAAGGTAGTAGCATTGATGACACCATAACAATTTTTGATTATAATCATTTTTTGGTAAAGAATTATCCAGAATGGATTTTCACAGCGGTAACACGTGCTCGTGATTTAAACAAAGTCAAATTTTATAAATATACAAAAGATGTTGATGATGTATTTAATCAAAAATGTATTATGAGTTATTTTGAAAGGAAAATTTTGAATTACAAGGAACAAGACAGGAAAGCAAAAAGAAGCATACCTAGAGAAGGTTATGTAAATTCTCAATGGTTTTTAGATAATATAAATAATCAATATAATTACTGCGGTTGCGGTTTTACTATTGATATGAAAAATGGTAATATAATGACTAATCTAACAGCACAACAAAAAGATAATGAATTAACTCATACAATAGAAAATATCATCCCATTTTGTAAATTATGTAATTGTAGTTGTAAATGATGATAATGAATTTAAAAATGAGTTTAATTTATTTGTTTGTTAAACATATATAGAAAGTTTACTGTAAAAAAACTAAAAATATATTTAGAAATTTTATTATAAAAAAAAAAAACTCTCGTAAAAAGTATTTAAAGAAATATTTTATAATACTATTATATAGTGTGATGAGTGATACAGTCCGTGATGATATTCATGCTAAATATATATTGAACAAAAATATGAATTACAAATGTGAAGACTGTGAGATGCTAAAATTACCAATTGAACGGGGTTTTACAAATGGCGTTTGTAATAATAATTGTCAATACATGATATGCAATGAGTGCAATAGAATTATAAACAAATTTGACATGAATAACAGAGATATAGATAGTAGAAATAATGAAGCTCTTGATGATGATTTAGAAATATTTGTGTTTATTGAAATGAATAAATTCTTAACTATAGAAGGGTTTGATAATTTATTAATTGAGTGTGATGACGAAGGAAATGATAATGATTTTATTTTATAGTATTATAGTATGGTAAAAAGATTATACAATATGTATTTTAATATTTAACGTTTAAAATATGATGTATTGATTGATAATGACTTTGATTTGTTCAATGAGTTTTTAAATTATGAGTATAGAATTGACGAACTTAGATATACAATAACACATGCAATTGGAATAATGGGATTGTTTAGAAAAAAATAGGAAATAATATTTATAATGAAACAACGTGTGATAAAAAAAAAAAATAGAAAGACTTAAAAAAGAATATTGTCCCGACATCAATTAAATTATTATCCTGAACTTAAGCTATAAAATTATATCTACCTAACCTTGCCCATAATATTTCTACAAAATTTGTGATAACATTTATTGTAAAATAATTTATCATAATTTTTGATTTGAATAATGTGTTTTTGAAAATGTTGTAAAATGATATTTTGTAAAATTATATTTTTGCAAAAAAATGAAAATTTATTATTATTATTATTATTATTATTGTTATTATGATTATTATTATTTAAAATGTGTTTGTTTATTTGTTAGGTTTAAAAAAAAAAAATGCAAAAATTATATGTTTAAAAAATTGTAATTGTTTTTTGTTGTTTTACATTTTGTAAAATTTATTATTTAAAAAAACATGGATGAACTTACTAGGAAATTACCTGCTTTGAAATGTTGATTTTTGAAAATGTGCTGTTTGAGGCGCTGTTTTAAAATGTTGCTAAAAGTGTGGGGGGGGTCCTAGGATGTTTTATAGAAAAAAAGACGGGCAAGGTCTGGTCTAACTCTATCAAGGGCCCGTTGATTGGCCATCCAGAACCCCCAGAACCCCTAAAAAATCTAGGGCCACTGCCCCTGCGGCTGGCCTCAGAGTTTGCGCGCCGTGGGCTCTTCGGCTCTTCGTGGTTTCCTTTTGCGTGGTGAGAAGGTAGGGAGCAGACCGGGCCCAGTCGGCAGCATGCGTGTGCTGGAAAGCAGTGCCTGCAGAGAAAGGCAACAAAAGACAAAAACCCACAGCCCGGAGCTAAAACTGGCAAGCCTCCTTGTCCACAGCCGCACCCTTGCCAATGGTGAGCATGTCATGCTCACTTACCACAGCAGTCCTCATGCAACGCCGAACTTGCTGTGACAAATCGAGCTCCGATTGAGGTGAGTGCAGCAAGAGAGCATCGCTGGCCACCCTGGACATTGGACGGCCACAAGAAACATCATGTGTCAGCTCTCTTTAGCCGATACGCAACGCATGGCCTCGCCCCCAGAAGTTTCAACCAGCAGTTGTAGAATGGGGAGCCCAGTGCCATTCCTCGGACTCCGAGCACAGACCCAACTCTCGTCTTGCTGTGGCCGACCCATAAATACGGCGATGGACATGGCGTTCAGCTGCTGGGAGAACCTTTGGCCGCTTCGCGCACGATTCGATGGATTCGATAGGACTCGATAGGTCGCTAGGTCCCCGGCATGGCGAGGTGACTCCGCACCGAGCCGTACCTGGCGCAAACCGCTCGAAACGCCGAAACTGGGCCAAGTCGGACGGCGCGCCATCGCCAGGATCGGCTTGGACTGACGCCCAGGATGATCCATTTCAACGGAACAGCCTGCAAATCATTTCATCGCCTTGCCTTCTTGCTGTTATTGCTTTTATTGCTTTTATTGCTTTTATTGCTTTTATTGCCTTCTTGCCTTCTCTCATTGCAACCAGGCAACGAGAAGACAAAGGCACCAGCCCAAGGCGATGTAGGCCAATGGCAGGCTCCCCGCCTCACCAAAAGCCGACCGCGCAGCCTCACAGCCTGCGAGCTGAGCATCCTGCCAGAGCCAGGCGGCCTCGCGCTTCGCACCGGCTTCGGGATGGATCGATTGAATCAGGTGCGCTTGCGGTGGCTTCGCCTGTCCAGCCCTGCAGCTGCTTCATGAAGCTGGCCAGCACAAGCGTCAACAGGTACCTGCCCCGCTCGGCGATGTTCGGTCTGCCGCCAGATCAACATCGAAATTCCTGGCGGGTTACATGGCCGGAAGCAGCGTGAGCAGCAGCAGAAGCTGCAGAAGCATCGGCGCGAGCAAGGGGTAGAGGACCCTCACCGCCCTGAGTCGGCAAGTTCCTCGCACTTTGCCAATTTGCTCCCATCTCTGCACTGTTCCTTCCGACTCCTTGCCTTTTGCCTTCAGGTCCTTATCCCCTCGAGGCCCGAACGCACGGCCGCCTCGGGCCCAGCCGGAGGGCGCCTTGCTCAGGGTGCTCCGGCGCATGATGACCCCCGGATTGCCTCGGACATTCCGATGGTCCGATGGCCTTCGCGGAGCCGAACCAACTCTGAGCTGCCAGGCCCACCAGCTGCAAGTCCGAGCGGACCGGTCTGCCGGCAACGGTCATGGCCCCAACCACAGCATCCGGCTCGACCTCGTTCGCATGGCCATTTGGGGAGAGGCAGCTGAGAGGACTCAATAGGGCGCAATAGGTGCGCAGCGTGTGAATGAGGCAGCATGACAGCATCTGCGCCCACCACAGCGCCCTTCCCAACCTCGAACGCTTCAGAACTTCACTCACTGCCATGCTCGCTGCATGCCTCGCAGTCGCCCAAGGCTTGGTGGCTTAGCAGCAAGGCGTCCTGCATTGCACTGCGTGGGGAAACGTCGAAAGGGTCAAAAGGGAGCTGGGCCGGGTCAAGCCCGGCGCGCAGGCCTCTGCCACGTGCAACTTCCTTGGCTCCAGCGGCGGCTCCGCAACAGCCACCGTGGCGCGTAGTGACACGCGGCCGCCCAGCAGCCGCAAATACAGCGACATGGCCTCGAGATGAGGCCAACGACAGGTGACCTGGTGGCAATCCCGGGTCTCTGGCCCAGGTTCCAGAAAGCTGGGCCGGATAGCGGGGGAAGGTCAGCCTAGCACTTTGAGAGCATGCCCAAGGAACGTGCGAGCAGCTCTGAAACTCTTCAGCTTGCAATAGCGAGCATCGAAAGCTCAGCGAGCAAGAACTATGGCCATGCTCAGCGATGTGCGCAGGATTAAAACTTCTTTGGTTTGCTATGGTCATCGTTCCCTTAATAGGCACCAATTCAAGGCTTTGAAACAGGCTCCTGGATACACGTTCACAGCACCTTGCCGATATCCTGCAGTTTAAAGCACGAGGCTCTTCCCCCCTGGAATAAGCACAGGACCTTCGATGCCGCCCACATTGTGTGTTCGCATGTGTTGTTCTTCTATAGTGATCCATAGTGCGTATTGAGAAAGCGTGTCCTTGGCCTGCAGTGCCTATGGCGCGGCCCGGATTTGTTCTGTGACATTGTTGTCTAGGCATTGTTTGGGATCTGGTTCAAACTGCAACTGCATGCTGACAAAGTGTCATAATCATGTCAAACATCATGTAAACAAACAGCAGTCTCCCGCGCCTCAGCACCACGCGCCGAACCTACGTGTACTGTACTGTCTGTACAGTGCTCGCGTTGCTCGCATGGGTCTGGTGTCCAAGACTGTCTGTGTCTCGCGAATCAAGCGGCGCCTCTCAGCCTCTCAACCCTTTGGCGCCTGGAAGAACCAGGAGTTGAGATTTCTGGAGCCTCTGATGAACCTCGCACGCGCATGCACTCTGTGCCACACACTCGATAAGACCAATCTGGTTCCCAAACTGATGGGACGGAAAGCCAAAATGCATCCCAAAAGCTTGACCCACAAATCAAGGGCCTGGGGCACGGGAGTCCTCTCTCAAACTATGCGGTTTCCGTGCCTGCAGAGCAGCGCCGAGCTCAGGGTCAGGGTCCAGCCATAAACCTCGGGACTCGGGAAGTCAAAGACGCAGCTTCTTGGGGCATTTTGGCATGGCATTTTGCGTAAGGATGGAGCCGCAAAGCCCACAACCACCATACCTGCCAAGTCGAACCCTTTGGCACAGCCAATCAGCCAATGCGCCAAACCCTGCCTGCCAGACGCAAACCGAACTGTATCTGGGTCATACCCATTGCCTGTGCCACCTTGAGAAGGAGGAACTGCGCATGAGTGCTTGCAATTCGTGCGGGCCTCGTCCGCAAGGCTTGCCAGGTCCAGGTTCAGCAACACGTCCGCAGAGGCCTCTGGGAGAGCAACAGGGCTGGATTTGTTTGTGTTCCGGCTCTGGGCCCAGACCATGACTGGTGGACCGAAGAGGAGCCAGGTGGCCGCGAACAGCCAGCCCTCATTCTGCGACTGCCACTGCCAGACCTCGTGACTCCAAACCCAGCCTCGTGACTGCACCGGCAGATAGGCCAACTGAGGCACGGACACCCGCCTCGGTCCGGAAACCTTGTGCCTGGCGGCTGCTTCGCTAACATTTCCGCATCTCCTCCCCAGGCGCACGTCTGCCAGGAGGCCGAACACGCAATACGCGGCCATGCTGCAGAGTGTCCTTCCAGAAAGGAAACGTGTCAAGATCTCAAGAGCAAAGCTGCAGAGCTGACTTTCAACCAAGAAACTGCAAGGAGAGCGTCAGCAGCAACGCGACAATATCTGCAAAGAGGTCGCGGCCTGAGGGGTCCAACAACGAAGCTCTGCAAGGGGCAAAGGGTGCAAAAGGGTGCAAAAGGGTGCAAAAGGGTGCAAAAGGGTGCAAAAGGGTGCAAAAGGGTGCAAAAGGGTGCAAAAGGGTGTGCAAAAGGGTGCAAAAGGGTGCAAAAGAGTGCAAAAGGGTGCAAAAGGGTGCCAAAGGGTGCCACAGGGTGCACAGGGTGCAAAGGGGGCGAGTGCTATCGCCAGCTGAGGAGGCTGGCAAAGCATACCGGGAGGAAAGCGGATGGGCTGCTGCCTAACTTGCGATGGCCGTTCAGGCAAAGTTATCGCTCAATCTGATACTCACGGCGCTAGGTTTCGCCTGGATTGCACCAGCGGGGCTCCCTTCCAAACCTGCCCGGGTCACAGGCAACCGCGGGCTATGGCTAAGTCTTTTCTGGGATGCCGGCAGACCCGTCAGGGAGGGTGCGGCCGGTGCGGCCAGAAAACAAAGACCTGCAAGCCCAATTGGCAAACTTTCGGCACAAGGCAAGTCGGGCTGACAGCGGCTGCAAGGTGACGTTGTCACCAGCCACGCAACCCGCAGTACAAACCTCAGATTCAAATCTGAAACGGATTTGGCAGGAAGATGGAAATGCCCGGTTCCCGGCCGCATTCTCGCCCACGGCGCAAAAGTTCCCGAAAGCCATGGGCCGCAAGTGGAGGAGCGCGGCCTCGGGTTCTAAAGTGAGGCCTTCGACATACCAAACCATCTGCCTCCGCCACTGCCGGCCGCATCTTCGCGCCCTCGGCAATGACGCAGCACCGGCCCAGGGTGATGAGATCAAACCTCAACGATGCATCGGATGTGCGGGTGCGTCGGATGCATCGGATGCATCGCGCATTGCATCGTGTACATCCCAACTTCAAAAGCATTGTGCACACCCATCGCCGCATGGCATTGCGATGCCTTGAGCATCCTTGCAGCGAAAGGGCGAGTCGATGTTTTTTGAGGCGGCGGCTCTGAGATGTAGCGAGTGTCAATGCGGCAGTAGCCAGAAGTACGCAAACCGAGCCTTACGCACACAGCTCTCTCAGGATGCATCTGAGTGTGGGAAACTTGTGAGTTCCCATGTCCTTCCCCAAATTGGACCGTACAGTCTTTCCGAAATCTTGTCTAAGGCTGCAGCGCGCGGAGGTAGGCGAACCAAACCTTGGCCCCGTGCCGCGTGCCCTCACGCGAGCGTGCCGCGCGGACGCCTGCGACGCCTGCGACGCCTGCGGGGCCGCTGCTGGGCCGCCACGAAAGGCGCTGAAGCACAGCTCGTTCGCGAAGACCACCAGGCGGTCCTGCGGGAAACGCGGAGACCGGCTTGACACACGGCTCACGGGAATTGTACACTTCTGTCATGTTTCGGGGCAAGCCATGGTCAGACCAAGCGCCATGCCACCACCCACCAGCGAAAGAAGGCCCAGGAGTCATTTTGCAGCACACCTTCAAGGACAGAGCCCAAACGTTCACAACAACGGGAACGGAGGCCTGCTCGGTACTGCCCCACCACCGTCCACTTTGTGATGACCACCTGGCACGTCAAGCGTCGGCCGCGACTCTTGCTCCAGGTGGCCAGACCAAAAGCATGGTACTCATCAGGTAGAGCGGGTATGACACAAGCCTTGATCAAGCGGTTTCATCATCTGACAGCGCCTTTCTCTAAGCTTCTGGCACCAGGCAGGAAAAGGCTGACGCACCGCTGTTTGCGGCCTGGCAACCGGCATCCGGGCTGCCAAGAGCGCCGCGGAACTGGGCCGGCGCCGCGTGGCTTGCAAGGCTCAGCGGCAGCATGGCAGGCCAAATGACGCAGCCACTGATCCAGGCCTCACGTGAGGCACACTTGGCACACTTGGCACATGTAAGCGATGTAAGCGATCTGAGAGCCAGGCCCAAGCGCAGAGCCGGCAGACAAAGAACGCCAAGGCCTTGAGGCCTGTGACCAGCTGGAAGCATCGCAAGCTCAGAATCCCAAGAGCCTGTGCGGCAAGCGGCATCGCACCGGTGCACCTCCAGATCCTGGCAGAATGCAGTCGATGCGGTCGATGATTCAGACAAGCCGCTGAAGCTGCCTGTGCCGCCTCGGGAATGGCGGCCTCCTCTGTGCGAGATTTGCACCAAATCGCACGGTCGGCTCGTCCGCTCGTCCGCTCGTCCGCTCGTCGGCTCGCCGACTCGTCGTGTCTCGGGTGACTCCTGCGTGGCCAAATGCTCAGCCATCGCGCGCACGGTCTGCAGCTCGTAGAGGGCACTCAACGGCACTGTCAATCCTGACGGAAGGGGGTCGGCAAGGCTTAAAGAAGAACCACACGCAACGGCAAACGAGTCGAGCCCGGCCCATGTCGCGGAGCTTTTGGGACAGCAGCACGGCCTTCAACGACGTCATCCCCGCCTCGAGTCAAGTCATGCAAGTCATGCGAGTCATGCGAGCCATGCGAGCCATGCGTTTCGACCCGACCCGCTTTGCGCGGGGTGGGCCCGGGCGGTGCGGAGGTCCGTGGTGACCCCGAGCTTCTCCAGGCCAAGCGCCTCCGCAGCCGCTGCCTCCAGCTACCCCGAACGACTCCGAACGACTCCAAACTGGAAGCTCGCAGCTCCAAGAATCCTTTCGAGTTTCGAATTTGCGAGCCCTAAGATTCCAGCAGAAAGTCGGGTCTCCAAAGGAGACTCTGGGGCAACAAAGGACAGATCCTCACTTCGCGTAAAGATTGTGAAGCTTGCTGACAGCCTTCTTCGTTCGTGCCTCCTCGTTGGCATCAAGTCCCTGCGCTGAAAAGAAAGCTAAAGCGAATGAGGTTGTGGCCAATGCCCAAATTGAAAGCCCGCGCCTCTGAAGAAGACTCGGCCAAAAGCCGCGGCTTGTCGATCTTGCCATTCGGCGTCAGCGGGAGGCTTGCAAGCACCGTGACCCTGCCAGGAAAAGAGCCCGATTTGCTTGAAATGAAGCAGACTCTGGAAGTAACTGAACTTGGCTTGAACTCAGACTCCGCCTGCTGGGCACCATGTACTGCGGCAGGGTCTTCTGCAGCTCCTGAACTGAGTGCGTCGCAACAGCTCCCGATGTCTGACCGACTCAGCCCGGCACCGCTCGCAGTGTGGCCGGTGACAGGGACTCGGGCGTGACCCACGCCCAGAGTCCATCCTCTCGGCAATCCGTCGGCAATCCGTCGGCAATCCGTCGGCAATCCGTCGACAAGCTGGTCATGGCATCTAATGGCCCCGTGGCATCCAATGGCCCAATGGCCTTGGCCGCGTTCAAGCTCACGGCCACGGCCTCGGCTCAGTTCTCGACCTTTTGATCAAGAAGAAAACACCAGGCCTGTGCACCGAGCGCGGCCAGGGCAGCTTCCACTTCGGTCAGCTCCTAAGACATTCGTGAAACCGGCTCACAAAGAAGAAGGCATCTAGGCTGCAGGCAATGCGGAAGCCACGAACTTTCACCTCAGTTGAAGAAGTGAGGCAGGAAAGGAGGAAAGTCAAAAGAAACAGAACCGCACCATCTCGTCATTGCGGCCCAGGTAAAGCAGCTGGCCGCAGGGCAGCCACATCACAAGGTCTCCGGTCTTGTACATCCTCCGGCCGTTCAGCGGGTTGGGCACGAACTTCTCGGCGGTCTTGGCGCTGTCTTTGTGGTAGCCGCGGGCCAACTGCTCTCCGCCCAGGCACAGCTCCCCAGGTGTGCCGATGGGCTGCAGCGACTTGGTGGCCGAGGCCTCAAAGACGTAGCACTGCACGCCCCCCAAAGGCCGGCCGATGGCCACGTGCCGCAAGGAATCCTCAGACTCGTCCTCCTCCACCAGCCGAAACGTGGAGCCGGAGTGCTGCGAATCCGACGCGAGCTCGCGCTCGCGGAGCTCGGCCCAGGTGGCCACCACCGTGCTCTCGCTGGGCCCGTACGCGTTCACCAGGCGCCGGCCCGGCGCCCACGTCTTCACCAGCGCCGGCGGGCACGCCTCCGCCGCCACCGCCAGCTTCGCCAGCCGCAGACTCGGCCTCAGTGCGAGCGCATCGGAAGGAAGCATCGGGAAACGGTGCATCGAGTCGGAACGAAGCGAAAACCACAAGGATCCCCGAGGATCCCCCGAGGATCGGTGCGGATCCCTCCAGGCGACCCCTGGGGGTGGCACCGCAACACCGCCAGCGCCGAAGGCGTCAGCGTGGCGCAGCTCACGTGGTGCCTCTCCAAGGCCTCTGCGAAGCCTGTGGTTTCATCCCAGAGCACCAGGCAAGCGCCTCACAGAATGTGCGCTGTGCTCAATACTCCGAGCTGTTATTCGCGCCTCCGCAAAAGGTGCTGAGATACTCCTGCACGGCCCCGTCGAAGGCGGGCTTGAAGAACTGCAAAACGCGATCCTCCTTGGTGATGTTCATGAGCGCCAGCTGCTCCCTCACCATATTGGCTGCGGACCTGTGCTCGATAGCCACACCCTTCGGCCGCCCCGTAGATCCGGAGGTGTAGATGATGTAGGCCAGGCGCAGCGGGGGCGCCTGCTCAATGCCGCCCACATCCACCTTGGAGGAACCCGGCAAGGGCCACTGCACCGTGCAGAAGGTAGCCACAGCTGCCAAATGGCAGTGCTCCTCTCGGCAAAGCACCAGCTTGGGCGTGGCATTGCCCAGGATGTGGGCAATGCGCTCAGCTGGGTACTCCGGGTCGATGGGCACGTAGGCGGCTCCGATGCCCAGGGTTGCCCAGATCGCCTACGGGCGAGATTTGGGGATGCCGCGCTATAATGAAATCTTGACATCTTGCACAGCCGTCAGCCAGACGAGATCCCGAGGTCCCGAGATCCCGAAGTTCCGAGGTCCCGGCAACGGCGAGTTCCACGGACCGTGCCAGCAGCAGTCCGATGACCATCTCTTCTCCAGGGGCGGGCTCAGCAAGCTTCTTTCGCAGAGCCTCAGAAGAAAATGAAAGCAGTCAAATGGCCTTCAAACGTGTCGTGCTTGGAATCTGAGGCCGCAGCTGCTGCCAGGGACATGATGCGCGCACCAAACTCTTCGTACGTGACAGTCCGGTCCTCAACATCGAGCTTGGAAAGGCTGGAGGTGAGGCTCGCTTCCACCCGACGTGTGACCCTGCAAAACTCAAATGGTTTTCATTGACGTTCCATCGAAGATCCCCAAAAATTGGGGTATCAAAGGTAGGCCTCTCAAACAAGTTCCCTCGACCACAAACCCCTGCGGCAGCTCAAATTTCAAACTCAATCTGTTTGTCAATCTGCATGCATATGTATGCATTTGTACGTGTATGTACGTATTTGTGCGTGTATGTATGTATCTGTATGTGTATCTGTATGTGTATGTGTCATTATGTGTCTGTGTATGAGTATGTGTATATGTATATGTATGTATGCATGCATGCATGTACGTGTGTGTGTGTATGCATGCACATGCATGCATGTATGTTTGTGTCTATGTGTGTTTGTATGTATGTACTTGTATGTACGTGTGTATTTACGGTTTTGTATGTATGTATGTATGTATATGTGTGTATGTGTATGTGTCTGTGTGCGTATGGGCATGGGTATGTGTATGTGTATGTGTGTATGTGTACGCGTGTACGTGTGTACGTGTGTATGTCTGTATGTGTGTATGCATGTATGCATGCATGCATGCATGTATGTATGTATGTATGTGTGTGTATGTGTGTATTTATGTATGAATGCATGTATGTATGCAATCATGTATGCATGTATGTACTTATGTATGTATGTATATGTGTATGGGTATGTGTATGTGTATGTGTATGTGCATGTGTATGTGTATCTGTATGTGTACGTGTATCTGTATGCATGTATGTATGCATGCATGCATGCAAATGCATGCAAATGCGCGCACATGCATACATGTATGTTTGTATGTACGTTTCTGTATGTGTGTTTCTGTGTATGTGTTCGTATGTATGTATGTCTGTCTGTCTGTTGTATGTATGCATGTATGTACTTGTACGTGCGTGTGTGTGTGTGTGTACGTACGTTTTTGTGTGTATGTATTTATGTATGTATGTGTGTCAATGTATGTCTGACTGTCTGTCTGTCTGTCTGCCTGTCTGTCTGTCTGTCTGTGTGTGTCTGTATGTATGTACGTATGTATGTATGTATGTATGTATGTGTATATGTATGCATGCATGCATGCATGTTTGTATGTATGTATGTATGTGTGTGCGTGTTTGGATGTATTTGTATGTATGTGTATGTGCTTGTATGTACCTGTTTGTATGTACGTGTTCGTATGTATGCACGTGTGTATGCATGTGTGTAGCTCTGTACTTGTGTGTGCTGGTATGTATGTGTTTGTACGTACGTTTGTCACAATGCAGTCTGCAGCACTCCCCGACTCTTTTCCCCGAGGCTCCGAGCGGGTGGCTAAATACATAATCAGGGCGGGCAGGGCAGCAAACACAGCCCACTGAGTCCGTGTTAACCATAGTCGAGTTTCGTGAGCCGCGTTAAATCAAAAACCAGTCCTGTGGTGGTTTTCGGAAGAACCCAGAACCGTGGCTAATCAGAAAATTTCCTCAGTATATCAACGTCAGGTCCAAGCATTCTTGCCGTGGCCGGAGTTCAGGAAGGCAGCTGGCAGCCGGGCCAGCATGGGGCGGTCATGCCAGCCGGCCCAGTCAATCGGGCGCACCTCCCCCGCGGCTACGGTCGTCAAGCCACCGGTGTGAAGAGCCAATAGGTCTGGAAGTAGGAGCTCAAGAGGGCGTGAAACCATCTACCACCGGGCCAGGAAAGGAGTGAACCTGAGCTGGGAGGGTGCTCTCTGAACCGCCTTCATTCCCGTCCCTGCGTGAAAGGTCGTGATGGCCAACCGTTTCGGTGCCTTTTTCAGGGGCTGACGTCCCGTCCTGTGGCACCTTCCCCTTTTTCTAGACCAGCTGAAAGCCGACTGTGTGTCCCCAGTCGGTCTTCCACTGTTCACACCGGGTGGAGATACAGTGCTGACCGCAACCGTCTCTGCTGCAGCTTGCTGAAAATTGGGAGCAAGACTCCGTTTCAGGGAGGGGTTGGGAAGTCACTCGTGATCCACCGCCCGGCAGTTCTTTTCACACGCCTTGCCCGACGGCAGAAGAACCGGGCAATTGTGGCATCTCCCACAGTTTTCTGGGCACTTGTTAAAGGCGTGGTGCTTCTTGCAAAACTGGGTCCCCGCCAAGGAAACGTCCAAATAGTGCAGGTTCCATTCTTCTTAGTGGTTTTCCAACCAATTGTCACCCCATGTTTATCCGAGCTTTTGATCAATCCCCATGTGAAGGTGTAACCGCCGAATTCGCAAATAGTGCTTAGCTTGCTGGTGCTCAACAGGGAATGAGGGAATGGGCATTTGTGACACAAAGGTGCAGGCATGCGCGTAGTTGAACGCGATGTCGGGAGAGGAGAGGAGCAACCACGTGCTGGGTCATAATTAGGATCCCCGGCCGGCGACATGGCGTTTGCAATATGTGCGCAGCAGGACGGGAGAGGAGAAGAGCAGCCATTGGCCGGGTCATAATTAGAATGCCTCGAGAGAAGGCGTCTTGGACAAGCGCGCAGTACACACACATAGTACGTTGCGCGCTGGGTCAGGATCTTCGCAACGCTGCATGTGTCAGTTAGGAAGCGGGGGTTTGTGCGGGTCATGTGCAGTTGGCGACGCGGGGTGATGTCAGGAGAGGAGAGCAGCAGCCAGGCGCCGCGTCACAAGAATCCCGTGCGACAGAATGGTGTCTGAGACATGCGCGCAAAGGGACGCATAGCGGTCGTGGGCTATGTGCAGTGTGCTTTGGGAGGTGCTGTCGTCAGAGGAGAGGAGCAACCACGTGCTGGGTCATAATTAGAATTTCCCTGATAGTTAGAATCCCCTGCGACACAACGATGTTTGGGACATGCGCGCAGAAGGACGCACAGTAGGTTGCACGCTGGGTCATGATTCTTGTGATGCTGCGTGTGTCGGTTAGGACGCGGAGGGGGTTAGCAGGCGTTCGGCAATGGTTTTGGATTTCTTTGGGTCATGTGCAGTTTGCGGTGTGGGGCGATGTTGGGAGAGGAGCTGAGCAACCATGCGCCGGGTCACAATTGGAATCCCGTGAGACGTAACGGTGTTGGAGACATCGCACAGTGATGGGGAGTTCTCCGCAACGTTACCAGGGGAACCTGGCTGATCGCTTTTGCATAGCCTGAGTTGGGGTCACATATCTACGCCTTTTTCAATTGCGTTGTCAGCTTTCAAGTGCGTATAGCGAACACCACCATCATCACTTTCATCATCACAATCACCATGATGATCATCATCATCATCATCGCCATCCTCATGTTCATCATCATCATCATCATCATCATTATATTCATCATTATCATCGTCATGACCATCATCATCATCATCATCCTAATGATAATCATCACTACGCATCCTCAGCATCCCCAGCAGTTAACGTCATCCCCAGCAGGAGTTATCGTGACAATCATGACAACGCACCCTCTGCATATCCAGTCGGGTCTAACGGCGCACTTGAAACGTGAATGAAAAAGAAGAGCGCCACAGTTTTGATGATGATGATGAAAATGATGATGGTGGCGTTCATCATCACCATCCTGTTCATCATCATCGTCGTCATCATCATCATTGTCATCATCATGTTCACATTATCATGTTCATCATCATCATCATGTTCACCATCATCAGAGGATGCGTTGTTGATGAACAATCATCATTTTCATGTTCATCATCATCACCATCATCATTTTCATCATCATTTCATCATCAGCATCATTATCATCATCATGTTTATCATCATGTTCCTCATCGTGTTCATCATCATCATCATACGCATCCTCAGCAGCACCAGCAGTTACGTCAGCGCTGTGCATCCCTAGCGTGATAATCATCACGACGCATGCTCAGCATCACCAGCAGTCAGGATGATAAGCATGACTACGCATTGGCTGCATCTCCAATCGGGCCGAACGTCACTTTTGAAACGTATATGAAAAAGATGAGGATGAACCTGCTGATGAAAATGATGATGCTGCTGATGAACACGATGCCAATGATGAACATCACCATCATCACTTTCATCATCAAAATCATCATGATGATCGTCATCATCATCGCCGTCCTCATGTTCATCATCATCATCATCATCATCATCATTTTCATCCTCATCATCATCATCATGACCATCATCATCATCATCCTGATGATAATCATCACTACGCATCCTCAGCATCCCCAGCAGTTAACGCCATCCCCAGCAGGAGTTATCGTGACAATCATGACAACGCATCCTCTGCATATCCAGTCGGGTCTAATTTGTCATCATGTTTATCATCATCGTCGTCATCATCATCATTGTCGTCATCATGTTCACATTATCATGTTCATCATGATCATGTTCATCATCGTCAGAGGATGTGTTGTTGCTGGACCATCATCATGTTCCTCATCATGTTCCTCATCATGTTCATCATCATCCTGCTGATAATCACCACTACGCATCCTCAGCATCGCCAGCAGAGAACGTCATCACTATGCATCCCCAGCATCAGCAATCATGACAACGCATCCTCTGCATTACCATCATGATGATGATGAGAAGGATGATGATGATGATGATGACGATGATGCAGCCCAAAACAAAGTCTCCCACACCTCAGATTAAAGAGATATTAATTTGAGGTGCTCTCCCTGACAAAAAGTTTGCCAGGAAAAAGAGACAAGGATGCCACTCCCACACCTCAAATTAAAAAAATATTAATTTGAGGTGCTTTCCCTGTGCTAGAAAAGAAGCACGAGTGATGATGGTGATGACGATGATGCAGCCCAAAACAAAGTCTCCCACACGTCAAATTAAAAATTCTAATTTGAGGTGCTCTCCCTGACCAAAAGTTCGCCAGGAAAAAGAGACAAGGGTGCCACGCCCACACCTCAAATTGAAACCATATTAATCTGAGGTGCTTTCCCTGAGGAAAAGCTCGCTAGAAAAGAAGCACGAGTGATGAAGGTGATGACGATGATGCAGCCCAAAACAAAGTCTCCC